GAGGCTGCTGATCAGAGGGTGTATGAAGTGTGGTGGTCCAAACCTTATTTTGGGTTGTAAAGGGCAAGCAGTTCCTGATTCAAATCTCCTTAGAAAAGGGTGTTGTCGTGGATGCACTCCAAATAGAAGGGTGTGGCACCAGAACCAGTGTTTGGACCGGGCAGTGACATATGTCTCCTTGCAGAGGACAGTCCCCGGAGTGTAGTGATGTGTCATTTGGGGTGGTCCAACGATTTTGGCTGTCTGGCCCCAGTGTCTGCTTCCATGATTGTGCTGGGGGCACCGCACTTTGGAGCAGATGGCACAAGAACCGTGCTTTGGACTCAGACACAGAATATGTCCCCTGAAGGGAGAGGATAAATGAAGTGTGGTGGTCAAAACCTTATTTTGGGTTGTAAAGGGCAAGCAGTTCCTTATTCAAATCTCCTTAGACTATGGTGTCGTCCTGGAGGCACTCCAAATAGAAGGGTGTGGGACCAGAAGCAATATTTGGACCAGGCAGTGCCATATGTCTCCTTGCAGAGAGTGTAGTGATGTGTCATTTGGGGTGGTCCAATGATTTGGGGGGGAGTGTTTCAGCCTAGCCCCAGTGTCTGCTTGGATGATTGTCCTGGGGGCACAGCACTTTGGAGCAGCTGGCACAAGAACCGTGCTTTGGACCAAAAAACAGGATATATCTTCTTGAAGGGGAGAGTCTCCTGAGTGTGGGGGTATATGATATGTGGTGTTCCAAAGCTTATTATGGGGTTTAGAGCTTTCCAACTCTCCTCAGTGTTTCTGGATAATTTCACAAATAAGTGAAGATATGGAATGAATAAGGAACTGCAAATAAGGAACCAACTTCAGCCTATGTTGGTTTTGCCTTGTTTAGGGTGTGTTCAGATGGGCAGCTAATCCTGCCATTGGCCTGGCTCTAATTTGATCTAGATCTTATTTATCCGGCCTTGCACGACCAGACAGCTCCCCTTACCATGCACATACTCGCAGTGGCTTGTCTAGACGGTGTCCACCCGAAGGAGCTGCGTGGTCGGGTTTTTTTTTTTTTTTAATCTGTTTGCGCATGTGCATCTGTGCCTCAACATGTACTTGTTTTTCCATGCATGCACAGAATTGAATGGTTAAAGCACCACCAGTAGTACCTCCCTCTAGGTACCACTTCAATTAACGCAGTTCATAAATTTCATGGGCCATTCAGAAACATGAAATTGTCTGGAATGTTTGAGCGGAGCTCTGGGGCTGTCACGTGTTTACGCATTTATGTGCATATCGCTAAGAATTTTTAAAAATGGCGACTGTTCAGGATGGTCTGGAGCAGACCATCCCGACGGGCTGATTGTGCCCTGGAATGATCAGATGGAGGAAGGTCTGTCATTGGCCCGTCGGCAAGCAACAGCACCAGACTTACAGTGGTATCTTTTAAGTACGGCTCCCGGGTAGGGGAAAACGGGCTGATCACAGATGTCGCTGTCTGATCGTTCCGTTTAAATCCGCCAGGCATCCATGCCTGGGGCGGATGTAAAGACACGTCTGATTGGGGCCTTAGGCAGCAAAACTCTCTCCAGTTTCCTCCACAAGATGGCCAGAACTCCCCGGCACTGTATAAAACAACGGATGAATGATGATGTCCCCAGCCACTGTGAGACTCCAGAATCTATCCTGGGTGTGGAGGTATGTGTGTGTGTGACTGTCACATAAGGTATGTGTTATTTCCATAAATCCGTGACTCAAATGAAGATATTTATTTAGGCGAGGAGTTATAAATAAGAGAGAGAATAACAAAAAATACAAACTCTGTTGTCCTTTCTTACTGTACAAAAAGAGAATGAAACACTGACCCTCTGTAGTTGTCCTCATAGCAAATTCATTGCTATGTCCCCAGAAAAAGGGAGGGAGGCACCCTCTAATTCAATTTAATCCTAGAGTGCAAAACTGTAGTAACTTCTGTGCAGTTGATTATTCCAGGGCAGCAGCAGCAGCAGGATCATATGCCTGCTCTCAGCAATGAGTAAAGAGGTTTGGTTTTCAGAATCTACTATACTCAGGGGTCATTTTGGGGGAGACGCGGGGGGACGCCATCCCCCCGGGTGAGGTGCGGGAGGGCGGGGCCTGGAGCTCCCTGCTGGTGCCCGCTGGAGGTCGCCGCCGGCTGTGGGGAGGACACACTTCCGGTGATGTCAGGGGGTGTTGCATATGCTAATGAGTTATGCTAATGAGTCCCCCTAGCTCTTTTTCTACGAAATGACCCGTTTTTATATATATAAGGGTTAGGCCCCTGAATCTAATCCGGCCCCTCGTGGCTTGACCCACAGAACAGCCTCTTATGTAGGGCTTCCAAGTCCAGGTTGGGAAATGCCTGGAGACTGGGGCTGAGGAGGGCGGGGTTTGGAGAGGGCAGGGACCTCAGCAGCATGGAAGCCTCCCTCCAGAGCAGCCGCTTCCTCCAGGGGAACTGAGCTCTGTCATCTGGAGATCACTCGCAATTCCAGGAGATCTCCAGGCCCCACTGGGAGGCTGGCAACTCTACTGCTTCCAAGCCTTCTTTTTGAAAATATACTCCATCTCCCTTCTTCCCAAATACCTTAAACATCTTGCATCTGTCCTGAAGGGTGGACACTACGGCATTATACCCTGCTGAGGTCTCCCCCCAAAAAAAACCCTGCCCTCTCTAGGTAGTCCGGAGAACAATTGTAATTCTGGGAGATGGCCAGGCCACACATGGAGGCTGGCAACCATACTTTCTACTGGGAATATTATTAACACCACTCAGCTGACACAGAGCATTTGACTCTCACCTGCAGCCAGGTATGGAGTTGGGGTGATGTGATTTCTTTCTGCAGAGGCACAGAACATGCGGGGGGGGGCTGGGCTGGGTTCCCACCTTAGGCCAGACATGACATGATCACATGTGAGTTGTGGGTTCTCCTCAGTTCCCCCGTGTATGGTGCCCCATGAGGATCAGGACCGTGGCAAGTCCTTCAGCCGTCGCTTCTGCACCATTTTCCCAACCCCAAGCAGTCTATTTGGCCTGTTTGGGGAAACGAGTTTTTCTTTCACTCATTTTTGTCGCTGCCATTTGCAATTTGTTTCTTTTAGGCTGTTTCCCCCCCTCTGTTTTTAATATTTTATATGTTCTGTGTCAAGTTGCATGCCATTTATATGCGACTGAAGTGAAAACAATGTTAAAATTGAATAAATTCAACGGGAACAATTCTGCTCAAGGAAATAAGAATGGCGTGAAAGTAAATGCAGCCTTGGGGGGGGGTTCACTCTGCAGAAAAGGGAATTGAATATGCAAGGGGCGGGGTCGAGTGGAGACACTGAGGCTCCCCTCCTGATTTTGCATATGCCAGGTAGGTGGCTTATTGAACTCTTGGCGTTGTTAATGGTAGGTGACATTCAGTGGGACAGGTGGCCAGCCACACAGGGCCTGGGCAAAACATGGAAAAGACTCTGGTGCAGACATGTCTTCAGTTCCAGTGGTGGACTTTTCAGTGTCCCCCACCAACAAAGGCAACCTGAATCAAACACAGCAACAAAGTGTCGAGCAGTCCAGTTTGGCTGGGGATCCCCCGTTGCCTGCTTTCTTGTTCACTTTGGGCAGCAGGAGGACAAAGGACATGGCCAGGGCACAGTGGTAGAAGCTGTGGACGTAGGTGTAGTCCCACTCCTGGAAGAAAAGGCAGAAGCAGCAGCACTTAGTAGGGGGAATGGAGCAGATTCTGCTGGAGCCCTCAAGAGCCCCCATGCCACGAGTACTGCATCAAAGAGTGCTGGGTCAGTGGGGTGGAACGGAATGGAAAGAGACAGGGCAGATCTGAGTTCAGATCCCCGGACAACCACCGCGTGGCCTTGGAGCCATCATTATTTCTCAGCCTACCCTTTCTCACGGATCCAGGTGGGTCGGCCGTGTTGGTCTGAAACGGCATGACAAAGTTTGAGTCTGGTGGCAACTTTAAGACCAACAAAGTTTAATTCTGGGCCGAAGCGTCGCTTCTGCACCATTTTCCCAACCCCAAGCAGTCTATTTGGCCTGTTTGGGGAAACGAGTTTTTCTTTCACTCATTTTTGTCGCTGCCATTTGCAATTTGTTTCTTTTAGGCTGTTTCCCCCCCTCTGTTTTTAATATTTTATATGTTCTGTGTCAAGTTGCATGCCATTTATATGCGGCTGAAGTGAAAATAATGTTAAAATTGAATAAACTCAACCGGAACAATTCTGCTCAAGGAAATAAAAATGGCATGAAAGTAAATGCAGCCTTGGGGGGGGGGGGGGGGAGGAAAAAAGAAAAGGGACTTGAATATGAAAGGGGGGGGTTGGGTGGAAAAACTGAGGCTCCCCCCCGCATTGAGGCTCCCCTCCTGATTTTGCATATGCCAGGTAGGTGGCTTATTGAACTCTTGGCGTTGTTAATGGTAGGTGACATTCAGTGGGACAGGTGGCCAGCCACACAGGGCCTGGGCAAAACATGGAAAAGACTCTGGTGCAGACATGTCTTCAGTTCCAGTGGTGGACTCTTCAGTGTCCCCCACCAACAAAGGCAACCCGAATCAAACACAGCAACAAAGTGTTGAGCAGTCCAGTTTGGCTGGGGATCCCCCGTTGCCTGCTTTCTTGTTCACTTTGGGCAGCAGGAGGACAAAGGACATGGCTAGGGCACAGTGGTAGAAGCTGTGGACGTAGGTGTAGTCCCACTCCTGGAAGAAAAGGCAGAAGCAGCAGCACTTAGTAGGGGGAATGGAGCAGATTCTGCTGGAGCCCTCAAGAGCCCCCATGCCACGAGTACTGCATCAAAGAGTGCTAGGTCAGTGGGGTGGAACAGAATGGAAAGAGACAGGGCAGATCTGAATTCAGATCCCTGGACAACCACCGAGTGGCCTTGGAGACATCATTATTTCCCAGCCTAACCTTCCTCACAGATCCAGGTGGGTCGGCCGTGTTGGTCTGAAACGGCAGGACAAAGTTTGAGTCTGATGGCACCTTCAAGACCAACAAAGTTTAATTCTGGGCCGAAGCTTCCATGGGTATGACTGGACTCAAACTTTGTTCTTCCTCACAGAGTTGTTGTGAAGGTTAAACTAGAGTGGCTGATGCCCACCGGTCCTTTAAGGAAAGGTGAGCGATTTAATCAGAGGTCATTTCGTAGAAAAAGAGCTAGGGGAACTCATTAGCATAACTCATTAGCATATGCCACACACCCTGACATCAGGGGCCCGGCGGTGGACCTGCAAGGCCAGTGGGAGTGCGAGGAAGCCCCGCCAAGGCCCTCCCTGGCCCCAGGCAGGCAGGGATGGGGAGAGGCGGGGAGGAAGCAACTTACCCTCCCTCTTCTCCTGCCTCCTCCTGGCTGAATGAGGGCTGGAAGCAGGGGGCGGGGCTTCGTCATGTGCCCCGCCCCCTGCACCTCACCCGGGGGAACTGCGTTCCCCCGCGTTCCCCCCCGAAATGACCTCTGGATTTAATCAATTTTATTGGACCAAGGGCAGTGAAAGAGTTTAACCCTCCCTTGCCAATTGCCTCTGCTGAATTGCTAGCGGTGGGGGGTAGAGCCAGTGTTGATGAGGGGGTGGGGCTTAGAGGAACCTGGTGGGCAGGGGGAGGAGCCAAAGTAGCACCTAGAAGGAAGCAGAGAAGCCTGGACCCTACCGAGGGTTGCCAACTCTGGGTCAAGAAATTCCTAGAGGTTTGGGGGTGGAGCCTGAGGAGGGTGGCATTTGGGGAGGGGAGGGAGCCCAGCAGGGGTGTGATGCCCGGGAGGCCACCCTCCAAAGCAGCAGCCGTTTTCTCCAGGGGGACTGATCTCTGTTGCCTGGAGATCAGTCATAAAAATGGGAGGACCCCAGGCCCCACAGACTTAACCCTACCACTCGTCTCAACCAAGTTGGAAGCCTCCCCCACCCAACTTCAGCGGGAGGGAGGCGTCCTGTTCGGCTCAGCACTCAGCATGATTCTCATTTGGGGCCAGCAGTGGTGGGCTGGTGACTCCCCTGGTGTTTCAGCTGTCCATTTGGCAGCTCAGGGCTGTGGTGGGCAGAGAAGACTTTTCTCTTGCTGGGCCTCCCTCAGATTTTCTCTTACGGTCGGAAGCATCCTGAAAATGTGCTTGTGTGGAGAACTTGGACAGATGCTGATGGGGAGGGGACTGACAAAGGGGACATAAATTTTTTCTTTGGAGGGGGGCGTAGCTCTCTCAGCTGCAGGCTGAATGCCAAGATTGGAGCCTGCAGCCCAAAGGCCGCATCTGAGCAGATAAGCGGACTCCTCTTGCATTGCGAGTGACTCAGTCGCAAAACACGTTTGAACCATCCCTCCGAGTGAGGAATTCCAGGACCTCATACCTAAAATGGTATCATTGCTTCTAACCCACTGAGGATGGCAGGAGGTTCATCCAGGAATGGGAAGACTGCTACCCTCCCTTTCCTTCCCCCCTCCCCCCCCGGGTGTGTGTGGAATGTGTTCTGGTCGGGATTCATCTCTTGCGAGTGTTTCCTACGTGGGGGTCAGCCACAGGACTGGATTATTCATAAAGCTGGACCCAAGTATCGGCTCCCTGTGTGTCATCACTAACCATGCTCTCTCTCTCTCTCTCTGTGTCTCTCTCCATGCTCTCTCTCTCTCTCTGTGTGTGTCTCTGAAATTATTTCAGGATTCCCATGTTTTGTTCACAGAAGCAGAGACTTCAGCTGACTGGCCTTTGAGCAGAGGGCTTTTTCCCTCATGGGAGAAAGAACCTTTCCAACAGACAGCCCTCCTGGTACCTCCTCTTCAGCATGCCTGAGAGAGTGGGGGTGGCTACTGCAGAGGGTGGAGAGGGGCCACTCCGGGTGGGCTGGTTCACCTGCGTGGCCATTTGCAAGCCAGTTTGCCTGTGCACAGCTACAACGTGACGCCAGCAGCAATGTGCATGGGCTCTGGCTTTCAGGGCGCACCCCCGTTCAAAACGTTCCAGATTCAGCCGCTTGTTCTACCTGAACACATTATCCACTAAAGGAAAGCAAAAACAAGTTGGCTGGAAGGGCAGAGGATGAAATCCTGGCAACTTGGAATCCTTAAAACAATTGCAGACTTTGATTCTCTGTCCCACTGGTGCCTCTGCTGACGTGAGAAATTCCAGATGGGTAGGTTTGAGTTCCTCCTTTACCCTGATTTAAATCCAAAATATCGACAACTGTTCCTTTGTCTGCACCTGGGAACCCTTGCTTCCAGTCTTTTTTATTTTCATTCTGCCCTTTGTACAGTTATGCTCAGATCACTGGCCCACCAGGCTCACTTCCTGTGAGGCCACTGTAAGCAGGGAGCCAATAATTCATCAAGCTGTTTGGATGCATCTGGGCATAATCTGATTTGCACAATCACACTGCTTGCTCACATGAATAGACTCCTTTCTTGCAACTGCCACCCTGACACCTATCTGGCACTGCCTCAGCCACACAGTAAAAAAGGAGAAAAATCTGTTTTTTCATTGAACCTTGCTACTTAGTTATCTCTGTGTGCTGTAGATGACTGCCTGTGAGCCCAGCTAAAAGTCCTGTGATAACTTCTCAAACTGAAGCTGCTTTCTGTATGTCCAATGTATCCAGTGTTGGTCATTTAGATGTTGCACAGGCACCAAATGAGATAATTCTGTGCCTAGGGGTTGGTCTAACAGCTGTCTCAGCCATAACCTTGGGGAATACTGCCTCTTCTCCAGTGGATTAGAGGATCTATTTCTTGGGCTGAGCAAAAACAACCTCAAGTTGCAGTGGCCTGCCCTGCCCCTCTAGGACGAGTGGTAACTGCACTGGCACAAAGTTGACTGATGGGCATGAGAAAAACTTTGTGGCAGGGACCATTGAGGTGATCCAGTCAGGAGCTCTCCTCCTGACAAGCTGAGGAAGTTTGAGCAGAGCAAGTTTCCCTTGGTGGTAGAAAGCGCTATCAAATTGCAGCTGACTATTGGTGACCCTGAAGGGTTGTCAAGCCAACTGCAATAAAAAAGGCCAATGCTGTGCTGGGGATTGTTAGGAAGGGGACTGGAAACAAATCAGCCAGTATCAAAATGCCCCTGTGTACATCTATAGTGTGGCCTCATTTGGAATACTGAGGATAGTTCTGGTCACCGCACCTCAAAAAAGATATTATAACACTGGAAAAGGTGCAGAAAAGGGCAACTAGAATGATGAACACCTTCCCTATGAAGAAAGGTTAAAGAGGTTAGGGCTCTGTAGCTTGGAGAAATGAAGACTGAAGGGTGACATGTCAGAGGTTTATAAGATTATGCATGGGATAGAGCAGGTAGAGAAAGTACTTTTCTCCCTTTCTCACAATGCAAGAACTTGTGGGCACTAAAAGGAAGAGTCATTAACATGCGGAAGTCACTGCCGCAGGAAGTGGTGGCGGCTACAAGCATAGACAACTTCAAGAGGGGATTGGATAAACGTATGGAGCAGAGGCCCATCAGTGGCTATTAGTTACAAGGTATAGATGAAACACTCTGTCTGGGGCAAGTGATACTCTACATTATGCTGTGGAGGGCAGAGTGGGAGGGCTTCTGGAGTTCTGGCCTCACTGGTGGGTTTTGGGCACTGGGTGACACAGAAGAGTGTTGGACTGGATGGGCCATTGGCCTGATCCAACATGGCCCGTCTTATGTTCAACAGACGTTCAGAGGTGGTTTGCCATTGCCTCGACATAGTGACCCTGGACTTGCTTGGTGGTCTCCCATCCAAGTACTAACCAGGGCTGACCCTGCTTAGCTTCCAAGATCTGACAAGATCGGGATACCCTGGGCTATCCTTACAATTTTCCTTACTGTTGAGTTTATACCCTATGTTCTCAACGTCTGTCCTTAGAGCAGGCGTCTCCAACCTTTTTGAGCCTGTGGGCACCCTTGGAATTCTGATACGGTGTTGTGAGCTCAGCCCCAAATGGCTACCCCATGAAGCAGAGCCAGCCATGAAATGGCGACTGCAGACTACCTTCAGTGACGCAGCGAAAAGCCGTGTGCTGTGGTGGCAGCTGCTGCTGAAGCAACATTTTTAAAAATCCGCATGGCCAGTCAGAAGCCTTGCTGGAGAAAAGAGCCACCCAGCCCTGCCCACTTTTAAAAGTCCCATGGTGGGCATCCTGAAGGGCTTCAGCAGATGCCATGGTGCCCCTGCCTTGGAGGTGTCTGGCTGGCTGCAGCTGGCTGCAGAAGGCCCTGGGGTGCTGAGACGTTGAGGGTCTGACCAAGCAAGGCAACAGAGGATTTCCCTGCTCCTTGCAAAGATTGGGACTGTTTGCAAGGCCCGAGTGAAACCTTTGATTTCCCTGTGGAGGACCAGCACATGCATGCTGCCAAAATGCCAAAGAAGGAGAGCATGGGATTCTGCTAAGTGACACTTTTATGTTCTGTTAGGACATGCAATTATTTTCTGCTTTGAAAACTAATCCTCACGGATCCCTGTGAAGCCGTATCTGCTTCCAAGGCACATGGCAGTGGCCATGTGAGAGCTAAGTGCACACAGGGATAAACGCTGGGAGCCCGTCCACTTTTCTGACTTCCTCCACCTCCCTTTCAGCAAAACTGGAATATTGTCTAATTTTCATGCCTGTAATTTCTAAAAAAACTAATGTCTGTACCTGAGAAAATGCCATTTTAAACGACCGGATACATTTTGCTGGAAAGATCTACTTTTCTCCCCCCACCCCCACCCCCACCCAAAAACCCTGCGGAACATGTGGCTTTCCACCCACTCTTAGAAAGTAGAATTTATTTGCAGAGGTTTCCTAAGCCAGATGTGCTGCATGATCGTCTCAGATGCAGACCAGAAGCAGGGGGGTGTTCAAAGATCACCTGTATTCAAAGCTCCTGCTCTTTTCCAGTGAGTCTCCATCTCTCCCCCCCCCCCCCCCCCCTCCCCTCTGCCTGCAGCTCTTTCCGAGGAGACGGCTGTGCTCCCTCCTCCCCCCTTCAAATCCTCCGGCAGAACCCTCGCTTGGAAGCCTGTGGGCTCAACACTTAATCCTCATTAATGATGTGCTCAGGTGGCAATCTGATCGCAAATGGAGAGCAGTTCCCTGGAACAATTGGGGAAAGGCTCCTTTTTATTGAGATGGATCTAAATTGTAGTGCAAATTTTTTGCAGGCGCACTCTCTCATGCTGCTTTTCCATGGCTGCCCCATTTCCTCACCTATCATCTGCCTGAACCCCCCTCCCAATAGGAAAAAAAAGACTGCCTAGCAAAAAGATGGATTTTTACCATGGCAAATATTTTAGAGCAAAGGTGCACTCTAACTGCCCTTGTGCCAGGGTGAGTGGTCCCCAGGGCTCCCCCAGCCAGAAGTTTCGATTTTGGCTGTGCTGACATCATGGATGAAGCACCTTCCCTGTAAGGAAGGCTAAGTATGTGGGCGTTTAGGCTCAAAAAAAGGATCACAAAGGCCCCGTTCATACGAGGGGTTTTGGTCCGGGAGCGAGACAGAACGGGGGCGGATCAAACGGGCGCGATCCCACGGCAACATCTGGGAATCGTTGCCTGTCCATCCCCGATCTGTCTCTTCCGCGCGAAAACCCGCACTAAAAAGAACCACCTACCTGGGTGGTTTTTGTGAAGTAGAGCGGCTCAAACCGGCCGTGGGATCGGCCCTGTGTCCTTGCGGCGGCACATCCCGGCCTCTGAGCATGCGCAGTTCGGCGGCCTCCCCCTTTTCCTCCCCGGCGTGTGATCGTGCCGGGGAGCAACGGTGCGCGGTGCACGGGATTCGTGGGATCCCGCCCGCGCGTATCTTTTTTGATGCAGCTCTCTTTAGCCGCGCTTCGTCTCGTGTTTTCCCTGCCGTGTGGCAGGGGCCATCGTCAGCTGTCAGTACAGAGAAGGGGGCCCTGACCTAGATGGCTCAGGCTTGCCTGATCTCATCAGACCTCACGAGCTAAGCAGGGCTGGCCCCGGTTAGTCCTTGGGTGGGAGACCTTCGAGGAAGACTGGGGCTGCTACGCAGATCTCTGCTCATCTCTTGCCTTGAAAACCCTACAGGGTTGCCGTGAGTCAACTGTGATCTGACAGCCCTTTCCACAGAGAGAGGGAGCTGTCTCTCCTATTAACAGAAATTGGGGTCACCCAAACAAACTGGCTTGCGGTAGATTCAGAACAGACACGGCACATCGTTCACTGCCACCAACTGTGTCAATGATTTAGATTACTTTATGAAATTGGGCAGATCCTTGGAAGAACTTCCCAAGAGTTACTAGTCATGATCAGTGTTCCCTCTAAGCTGTGGAGTCTTGTGAGCAAAAACTCTAATTTGTGAGCGACTAGCATTAAAGTTGTGAGCGAGTGATTTGTCTACTGCATAAATTAGTTTGCTCTGGAGCCCTCCTTCGTGAGCGAAGACAAAAATGTGTGAGCCGGAGGCTAAAAAACTGTGAGCTAGCTCACCCTAACTCAGCTTAGAGGGAACACTGGTCATGATATCTGAATAATACCTCTATATGCAAAGGCAGTCTACCTTTGAATAGTAGGTGCTGGAGGCACCTAGTATGGGGTGATGGCTGATCATTTTCATGTCCCATTTATGATCTTCCCAGGAGTTCATAACTGGAAGCCATATTGTATGAGGAGGATGGTAGCTCTTATACACTGGACAGACTTACCTCGAAAAAAAACCTCAGCATCAGTGCCAGGGCTCCAAAGCAGAAGCCAGGTCCAATCTGCTGTGTGTAGACACTTCTGTCCGGATACAGGCCTTTTTTCTCTTTCATCTTTTGCAACTGGAAGGAAAGATACCAGCTGGTGATGGAGTATCTTCAATCATAAGTGCCTCTTTAAAAGAAAATCCATAGGGATGTGTGAACTCTTCTACTCGCCCCAGAGATATTTTCTTTTTCTTATGAAAACTCTTTCTGCTTCCCCAGGAAATTCTTTTGGTGCCTTTCACTGCAGCAGGAAAAGCCACATTGACCTTGCATTTTGTACTGGGGAGAACTGCTATGGTGCTGGAGAAGACTCTTGAGAGTCCCTTGGACTGCAAGGAGATCAAATCAGTCAATCCTAAAAGAAATCAACCCTGCATGTGATCGTGCCGGGGATACTGCCTGTTCCCTGGATACTGAAGCCGAAGCTCAAATACTTTGGCCACCAAATGAGAAGGGAGCACTCACTGGAGAAGACCCTGATGCTGAGAATGATTGAAGGTCAAAGAAGACGGGGACGGCAGAGGATGAGATGGTTGGACAGTGTTATCAATGCAACGAACATGAAATTGAACAAACTCTGTAGAACGGTGAAAGACAAGAGGGCCTGGCGTGATGTGGTGCATGGGGTCGAATTCGACTGTGCGACTGAACGACAACAACAAAGAGAACCACTATAATTATTCATGGCCTTACCCATTTTATGGTTATCACCAGAACAGCTGTCCCGATTGGTCCTGAGTAAACACCGTATCCCCATCGGTCATGGTAGATCCTGACCGCAATGGTGAGCACGCCAAACATCAGAAAAGTTGACCTTTTGGGCTCATCAAACTCTGCCAGGGCTGAGGAAAAGAAGCCAGAGATGAGAATTCTGGGCTCTGTTACTGCTACATCATAATGCAAAACCGTGGTGTGTTTTAACGACACTGCTTGATTTGTGATTTGACTTATACACATTCTTTCAAATCCTAGTTTGTCTTGACAAACACTGGTTTTGTCTCTTTCTCTATTTCTTCGGTCTTCCCCACAAAGACTTGGCCGGCATCCCAGCCTAGACAGCAGTAAATCAGGATTAAGCCAGGATGTTTGCATTTGTATGACACTTAAATTAACTGTGGCTAATAAACCAACTTCAAACTGTGGTTTCAGGTCCTGGTTTGATGTACCCTAACCCCAGTTAGTGGAGTGGCCCGAGCTTGGATGATCACAGTAACTACAACTAGCTTGACTAAACCGCGATTTTGTATGATGTCTGAACTGAGCCATGGAAGAATGCTTGTTACTCTTTTTGAGGCACCTTTGTTTCAGAGTGGGACCTGGGACTTTCAAATTGGTGTATGATGTATAAGGTCTTTAATTATACTTCAGGTTATACTTCATTATACTTCAGCTCCAAGTATTATTTTCTTTCTTTGTCTGGGGAGGGACCATGACAAAGGCTGCTTTTGCACAGAGGTCTTGCCCTAGTTTGTCGACCAAAGTGGAGTGGGTTATTTTTGTAAGCATCCACAAGACGTCTTCTTTTCATCCTCTTCTGCATCTCCCACCCTTTGCCCTTGGCTGCAATCTCTTCCAAACCTGGTGTACTACAGTGTTTTTGGAAAGATCACAGCCAAAGCACAATGTGTGGCTACAAAGATACATATTTTTACCTCACTCATGTCATCACCAATTTGCCTCTGCCACTAGAGGGTTTGGTTTTTTTTAAAAAAAAGTTGACGTTCCTATGGCATTAAAATGACACTAGGAATAAGGCCCATTGTGGAAATAAATACAGTAAGCTCTAGAAAGAGGCTCTGGGCAGGTGCCCTGGCCTTAGGCACTCAGCATCAATTTGCTCTGGCAACCTCAGCAGGATATAACAACACAGAGTCTACTGTTTTCTCCAGGGGAACTGATGTTTGCCAGCTGAAGAGCAGTTGTAATTCTGAGTGATCTCCGGCCCTCACCTGGAGATTGGCAACAATGGCTCCCCAGAAGGAAACTGCTGGTTTGGTGGGTGGAGTCTATGGCATTCTACCTGTCTGAGGTCCCACCCCTCCTCAAATCCCACCCTCTCCAGGCTCCACTCCTCAGGTTTCCAGGAATTTCCCAACCAGGAGTTGGCAACACTATATTCTACCCAATCAACCATCAACCTAACTTTATCTTCCCCTCTGACTTCAGCTTTCCATCTCCTCTCCCCTCCCTGCAGCCCCTACCTAGTAAGTCTTTCTCTGGAGTGAGGACCAAAGCAGCTCACATCATTCTCCTCTCTCCCTTTTGATCTGCACAACCACCTTGTGAGGTAGGTTAGGCTAAAAGTCTGTGACTGGTCCAAAATCACCCACTCAGCTTCCACAGTTGATACGCCACACTGGCTGTGGTATCACCTGGTATCACAACTGAACTCCAGACAACAGATCTCTCTCTCCCCCTGAAGAAAACAACTGCTTTGGAGAGTGGACTCTATGGCATTCTGTTCAGCTGAGGCCTCTCCCCTCCCTAAATTCTGGCTTCTCTAGACTCCACCACAAAATCTCCAGGAATTTCCCAAACTGGAGCTGGCAACCCTAAGAAGGACTGGCCCTAATGAGTTCCCCACAAAGGCCAAAGTAGGCCTGGAAAGAGCCTCCACCCCCCACCTTTTTACTGACAGAACCAAGCTTGGTTGCCTAGCAACAGCCTCTGAGGGGAAAGTAGGGTTGCCAGCTCTGAGTAGGGAAATACCTGGAGATTTGGGGAGGTGGATCCTGTGGAGGGCAGGGTTTGGGGAGGAAAAGGACTCAGCAGGGTATAATCCCATAGGGTCTACCCTCCAAAGCAGCCATTTTCTCCAGGGGAACTGATCTCTGTCATCTGGAGATCAATTGTAACAGCAGGAAATCTCCAGGTCCCACCTGGAGGTTGGCAACCCTAGGGGAAAGAGAGCTGGCCAGCAGGAGGAGAAGAGAACGGTTTGATGGCCACTGGCCCAACTCAGTAGCCAGCCAGCCATGGAGATGCCAAGCAGGAGAAGCATCTCTGTCAAGAGAGACAGCCGTTTTGGCAGTTTATTTTTACAGAGGGAAGTGGCCAAGCTGGCAGTGCATAGGGGAGATGACCCAGCCCCCAGCCAATGTTATGCGAGTAGTCTTGAGTGGCGGTTGATGGGCCAATGGCTGATTAAGCCCACAGCACAGCCAATGGGAGAGCCAGATAGTGCCAATATGCTGGGCTTTTACACACACACACACACACACACACACACACACACACACACACACACACACATATAGGATTGCCGTGATTCTCTGAATCCAGCTTTTATTTGAAGGACTTTATTCACAGTGAAAAAGGGTTAGGGTTAGGGTTAGGGTTTGTTTTGTTTTTCAATTAAACCTGGAAATTTAGAGGAATTAGTACATTGTGGCAGTAGATCATTGTAATGTTATAATGCTATAGCACCATAATGCTTTGTTGATTTTCAATTTTTAAAAAGTGCAAGGGAAACTGCTGTGTGGACACTACGTTGCCTCTGCTCTGGGAGCCTCAATTAAATCTATGTGGCGCATCATCCCTGTGCAAAAGCAGACAAAGAATGGTTCTGTTTTGATTAAAAAGGAGAAATACCGACTGCATTTTGAGTAAGATACATGGAGGAGGTTTGGATTCTTCTCTTCCCTCCCTCTCTCCAGTTGTCTGAGGATGATTTCAGTTGTGGTGTCTGGGCCAGGGTTTCTCTTCAGACCACCTGTCTGTGGTCTGCAAACTCCACACTTCAGTCAATGAGGATGTGAATTACTGGAGGCCGCTCTCAAGTGCAGAATGGGGTCATTGCTGATCAAAGTTATGGCTCCCCAATGGCTCCCCTCCATGTGCTTCCAGCTCACACAGCTGGATCATGGCTGTCCTGGATTTGCAGTCCTGGGAAATGTGCCTGCGGTGGCTACGTTCACACACGGATGCATTCAACACTTTGCAAGCGACATGGGGAGAGGTTTTCTTCACGTCTCAAGCACCACACCTTCAGTGTCCTTGGATCACATTTTTATTAGGAGGTTTGGGGGTTTTTTTTGGCTAAGGCATAACATCCAGTTTTTAATTTCTACTGCATGCCTTCTGAATTGACATTTTCAAATAAATCTGGATTTGACTGGCTTGTAGAGCCAATTAACGAAAAGGTTGAGATTCTGGGTCACCAACCTCAGTGGGGTCAAAGGCCCATCTGCTAGAAGCTGGGGAACAGAGGCAGCAGGCCTCCTCATTTAGGGTGTTTCTAGGCTGCCGCCTCAGAGCCCTACTTGAGACAATTTATAATTAAAAACTCAGTATAAAAAATAAGCCATCATTAAAAATGGGAAGGGAATGTTGGGAACTTGAATTTACCTGTATTAGACAGAGATTATCAGATTAATTATCTATATTAAACAGAGATTAACAGATTATCTGGGAACTCAAATTTACCTGTATTAAATAGAGATTATCAGCTGCCTTTATCATTTCTCTTTGACTATACATTAGACACAACAGCACTTAGGTGTGTACTGATTTACTTATCACAGTCAAGTGAGATCCAATGTGGTGTAAAGGTTAGTGAACCAGTCTAGGGGAGGTTATCCCCATTTAGACCTGAAGCCTGGCCTACCTCACAGGTTTGTTGAGAGGACAGAAAGGAGGCAGGGAGTACCGTGCATGGCTCCTTGGGAGAAGGGCGGGATAAAAACGTGATAGTCACATGACACTGTACTGAAGCAAAAGAGAGAAGCCAAGGAATATTTTCAGTATAATCCGCTCGAGAACTATAAATCCTTCTGACAGAAAATCTGTTTTTCTGCAATAGAACTTTGTTAGCTTGCTTGTTTGCTTTCTCTGACCGATTCTGCAAAAGCCGTTGTTCCGCTCTCGGTCTCCCGTTTTCCCTGGCTCAATTTCCCACTATTTGCTGCATGGCCGCATTTTGACCCACATCTCCCTCCAATTTCCCCTGCATCTTCTTGATCCTAAAAAGTAAGGATCCTAATACATAAGGATCAAGAAGACGCAGGGAAAATCAGGGGAGAGATGTGGGTCAAAATGCGGCCATGCAGCAAATAGTGGGAAATTGAGCAGTACAACCAGAGGAAATGGGAGACTGAGGGCGGAACAACTGCTTTTGCAGAAAATCTCTCTCTCTCTCTCTCTCTCTCTCTCTCCCCCCCTCCCTCTCTCTCTCCTTCCCCCACTTTAATCCCCAGTGGGAACCCAAAGCAGCTTACACGGTTCTCCCCTCCGCCACTTTCTCCCAACAACAACCCTGTGAAGTAGGTTAGGCTGAGAAAGAGTGACTGCCCCAAGGTTGCCCAGCAGGGTTCCATAGCAGGACGGGGGTTTGAACCTGGGTCCTCCCAGTCCCTAGTCCAACACTCTAACCAACACTCTACCCCACACAGGCTCTTCCTTTTGCTTCCATCCCTCCAATGTAATGCGGCTTTAGACTCCTCAAATAAAGGCAGGTCCTTACCCATCAGCGACACCCACATTGACAAGGCCGTCCCGTAGATGCTGAAGTACTGGAGGGTGTCGTATTGCATGAAACAGAGGATGGACAGTCCTGGGCTGTCACAGGCATGGTAGATCTGTTGGGGAACATGATTACGGCAAAGGCCTCGTGAAACCGTAACCCAAGCCCATGAATCTCTGGGGCATGCGGGGGAACTACGTTCCCCCGTGTTCCCCCCCGAAATGACCTCTGGGAACATGATTACGGCAAAGGCCTCGTGAAATCGTAATTCAAGCCCATGAATCTCTGGGGCATGCAAGTGGTCGCCTCCACTGATCTCTGCCCCAAGCAGCTTCCATTCTTCAGTGATTTCCTCATGTGCATGCATGTTAAATGATGTGACCCAAAGCTGAAGGTACAAATGTTGGAAAGGGTACAGTCAGAGCTATTTTGGGGCAGGAACGCACAGGAATGGCGTTCCGGCTGGCGCCCAAGTTGGCCACGCCCAGCAGGAACTTATTAGCATAATAGGCCACACCCGACAGCAGAAACTCATTAGGATTGGCTACAATTAGGGGTGTGTGGCCTAACATGCAAAAAGCCCTGGGTTTTGACAACAAACAAGATAAAGAGAATAAGAAGCAAAAGGTAGGTGTGGCTGGATGACCACGCTTCTGGTAACATGGGGGTATGGCCTAATATGCGAATGAGCTGTGCTGTCAGGGTGTGGCCTGATATGCTAATGAGTTCCTGCTGTTGGGTATGGCCTATTATGCTAATGAGTTCCTCCTGGGCTTTTTCTACAAAAAAAAGCCCTGGGTACAGTGATGGCAGGATGTAAAAAAGTAATCAGTGAGGAATACTTGAGCTGCGATGGTTGTCTTGCCTGTGAGGGCCCTGCCTTCACACAATGAAGCCCACAGAGATGCCACGGTACTTCATCCCACCCAGTTCTATGTAAGGAGAGCCACAAGGGTCACTTGGCAGACCAACCCACTCATGCCCGTGGTCCATCAGTGGAGGTTCATATTGAAAATTGTGGGTTTGGAAGGCTGTTTGAGTTTTGGAGTGAATCTTAAGGAATGACTATGAACATGTTAAAGACACCCTTCCCCTGACCTGGAGGGCCCCAGTTACCCTGACAGTGTCAAATAATGGAAGTGATTTCTACTTGGATGGGAGACCACCAAGGAAGTCCAGAGGCAGGCAATGGCAAACCACCTCTGAATGCCTCTTGCCTGGAAAACCCCTCTGGAGTTGCCAAGAGTTGGCTGTGACAACGCTTTCCACCATCAAAGACGGTCTGGAGGGGAAAAGAGAAGCCAGCTAGGGTTCTCCCCAGGCCCGTGGCCAGGATTTTTAAAGTCGGGAGGCATTTAAATTTCTTAGGGGGCCCTGGCTAATCAAATTGATCCAGGGGAGAAGGCCGTGGTGCTCTGGGCTGGATGGGAAGTCAGGGGGCCTTGCCAGCAAGTCGGGGAGGGCCTAGCCCCGAGATGCCCCCCCCACTGTTGCTACGGGCCTCACCAGGGAACCCTTCAAAAGGCAGGCCCAGGCAGAGCCAAGAAGGAAGGGCTCTAGCACTCCCTAGTCTGCAAAAGGGTCTCCAGTTTTGGGTTGGGAAACACCTGGAGATTTAGGGGGTGGAGCCTGAGGAAGCTGGGCTTTTGGGGAGGGGAGAGGCAGGACTTTGATGGGGTATAAAGCCATAGAGTCCACCTTCTGAAGTGTCCACTTTCTCCAGGTGAGCTGATCTCTGTCGTAGTACCAGGTGATCCCTGGCCACCACCCAGAGGCTGGCAATGCTAGTGAGAGGACGCAAGGAGGCCTGAGAGGGAGGGGGCGGAGTGGGAGCAAACCCCTCTCCGCTGGGCTCCTCTGAGGCCCTCCAAAGCCCCTGCCAGGGAAGAAGGGATCGGCCAGTGGGCACTAGCAGCCCAGCCTCCACCCCTGCACCAGGGGCACGGGACAAGGGGCTTTGTGGAGAACAATCTGCTGCCGACTCTTGAGCTGGAGGGGGACCCTGGATCAGACTCTCCTGAGAGCAGAGACCGGCCCTCCTTGCTTGTGTCTCTGGGCAAAGCTCCATGCAGATGAACCGGAGTCGGGGTGTGTGTGTGTCTGTTTGCGGCATGCCTGCCTTCCTCTGACGGGGCAGTGGCCGAGCTGTCTCTGGAAGGGATCCGGGCCTCGCGTGTGCTTGACTTGCCTGACTCGCCTGTACTCTGTGCTGGCTATGTCTCCCTGGGAAATCTGGACAGGCATGTGTGCAGATGTTTCTGGCCGTCACTGGCACCGTTGCCTGAGCGGGCCGTATGCTTTCGCAGGTCTGAAGCATTTCCTGTCGGGGAGGAGGAGGAGCTGGGCTGCAGAATGCTGAGGCCGCCCCGGCTGCGTCCTCATCCTCCTCGCCCTGCCAGAGGGCCTGCAACAGCTGCGCAGCTCTTGCTCTCGCTCCCCACCCCGAGGGGGGGGTGGCCCTGATCCTGCCAAGATCCACTGGATGCCCCACCAGCACGGAAGGCAGACTTCCCGCAGGACCCCTTCAGAGTGAGAGGTGGCGGCAGCCCCGCAAGCTGGCGTCTGGAGCAAGACGGGACAGCTGGCTGCAACGCAGGCCTGGGAACCTGAGCCGGGCTGGAGCATCACCTCTGCTTTGCCTGAACCCGACCTGGAGCCAAGCGGCTCTGCCTTCGCGCTTCGCCCCTCCCCTCTCCCCAAGATGCCCTCCTGAGGGTTAATGGAGGCAAAACACTCTGAACATTCAGAAGTGTTGCCTGAATGCTCAGGGATCCCCAACGTTGGACCTTTCCTGGCATCTGCCAACCAAGTTCTTTTAGGAAGTGGGCAGACGGGCCAGGTGGGGCTTTTGCCCAGCAGGGCTCCTGATTGGCCGATGGAGGGCTGACCGGCAGTGCCGATTTTTAAAAACCTTCCTTTGGCCGCAGCGGCCACCCCCACTGCACAAGGATCTTTTCTGCGTGACCGAAGGGAAGCTGTGGCTGCCCCTGGCTCTGCCTCCTGCAGCAGCCAGTGGGTGGCAGTCATTTTGTGGAACCCCACCCCCCACCCCGCACACTGGGTGCGTTCAGACGGGGCGTCTCTGCCGGCATAAACTGCACCGGTTGGAACCAGTGCAGTTTATGCCGGCAGAAATGTGATCAGACTCACCCTCCTGTCTGCGGAGCCCTCCGGTGGACGCCCGCTCACACGCTGCGGGCGTCGGCGTTTTTTTTTTAAAGGACTGTTTGAGCATGCGCACAGGCAGCCATTCAGAGAATGGCGATTTTTGCGCATGCTCAACCCCCCCTTACATTTAAACTTTAAAGGTAAGCACTTACCTTTAAAGTTTAAAGCCCAACCTGGCCTCGCTTAAGTCCCGGACTCCTCCGGGACGGTAAAGTAAGGGCTTAAATTTTTTTTTTAACAAACGCTCAGGGCGAAGCTTCGCCTGAGCGCATATCACCTAGTGTTTTTTTTTTTAATGGCGGGCGAAAGCCGGAAGCCTCAGGCTTCCGACGGAAGTGGCTGCGCAACGGAGGAGAGCGATCAGACGCCAGGGTGCACCGTTTTCAACCGTTGCACTCTGTTTACCACCACTTCGGACCTAGTGGCAGTGCAACGGTTTAAAAGGATTTACAACGGTTAGGGACGGGAGGCAGATGTTCGCTGTCTGAACGCCCGTAAGTACACCGGTTGGCACCCTAACCGTTGTAAAGCCCCCGTCTGAACGCACCCAGTGTGTCAGAGTTCCAAAGGGGTCTGCAGGCTCAGGAAGGCTGGGGATCCCTGGTCTGGAAGAATGCAGAATACGGCTACTTGAAGATGTTAAAATGGCTGGTGAAAAGAAGTCTGCAGCAGTGAGAATTTTTTTTTGGAACAAGGCAGTTTTTAGTCAACTGGTCGTCTCCTTTCAGCTTTTCAGTTAAACACGTGCTCCATGGGTACCTTTTGTGAGAGCCTGAAAGGAAGCGGTAGGAGGAGGAAACTGCTGTGCACTGGCAGAAGCAAACGTCTTAAGATCTGCGTTTTGTCCCCTGATACAGCGGCCCCTGCCCTGCCCTGGATGGCCCAGGCCAGCTTTATCTCGGCAGATCCCGGAAGCTAAGCAGGGTCAAGCCTGGTTAGGACTTGGATGAGAGACCACCAAGGAAGCTTAGGGTCACTACACAGAGGCAGGCCATGGCGAACCACCGCTGAAGTCTCTGGCCTTGAGAACCCTTCAGGGTCTCCATTAGTTGGCTGCAATTTGACAGCACTTTCCACCCCCATACTAACCCATCAAACCCTGCCGAAATAAGCAAGTAGGCCCCTCATCCTCAGCCTGGGAAGTTGTTCTGTGTGGATGGAAAGCACCCCTGCGGCTGCTGGGACTTCCCCTGCCTTTCTGGTTCATCTCACTGGTCGGACACGAGAACAGAAGGACTGCAGGATTCCAAAGAATTCTACTCCTTTCATTGCATCTGAAGAAGTGTGTGTGCACACAAAAGGTCATACCTTGAATAAAACTTTGGCTGCGGTCACACGGGCTGTTTGTGGCGCTATAGTGGTGTTGCCTGAGTGGACCAAATCGGCCCCTCCAGACGAGGACCTCTGCCTCCCGTGGCGCAGTCGTCGGAAGCCCCTGCTGTTCTGCAGTGGAAGCAGAATCAACAGACACCGGGGAAAGTCCTGGACTAACGGGTTATTTGGGGTTCCCTCCGGGTTTTCCGACGTCTGAACTCTCCTGCAGTGAAAGGGATGTCTGAACTTGCAGATCCGTTTCCGCCACTGGGTTTTCTTAGTTGCTGCCTATATGCACATATGTGCATCCATCCGCCTGCGTTTAAATGAAACCCACCCTTACAGCTCGTCCCGTGGTTGAAGCACAACACTAATGTGGATGCCCACCATGGGACGGCCGCACAGGTAACCCGCCACAGCGTGTGCGGTCTGGATGAAATGCTCCGCCACACTTTAAACCAGTACAATTTGAGGTGCCACCATACCACACCAAGCCGCCAGTGTGACCACAGCCTATGCTGGTCTTCAAGCTGCTCCTGGACTCAAACTTTGTTCTATTCCTTCCCCCTGTTTATGAGGGGGTTGCCGGTTCCCAGTCATTCTTCAGCCCGCTGAAGTAAGCCACTTTCTGACAACCAACTGCTCGTGCCAGGAAGTCCAGCCAGATGCTTCCTTATGTCACCCCTGACGTGGCCCACTCTTCTGGCTGACAGCAGTTCCCCAGTCTTTCCCAGTCCTAAAGCCAGGCTATGGAGCTGTGCCCTACCCAGTGGAGACTCGGCACGGGGGTCTCCTGAGTCCATGTGGGGGGGGTCACCCTTGGGGGAGGGGAGGGGGGGAGATTCCAGGAATTGCCACTGATCTCCGGGCTACAGAGAACAGTTCCCCTGGAGGACACAGAGTCTTTGGAGGGCGGATTTGGTGTCGTTATTCTCCACGGAGGTCCTTCTCCTGTTCTCCTCAGGCTCTGCCCCCACATTTCCAGGAGTTTCTCAACCCGGAGTCGGCAGTCCAAGGCCAAGGAAGCTACTGGAATAAAAACTGGTTAGTCTTTAAAATGCCATCCGAGACTGAGACTGAGTGACTCTCTCTCTCTCTCTCTCTCCACACCAGCCCTGCGGATGAGAAGTCAGACAAGAACTCCAGGGACATGCAAGTGTAAAGGAGGTTCTTACCGATACGAAGAACATGGTGAAGAAATAGACCATAGCCTCCATGTGGAACTGCCTCTTGGCTGCGATGCTAATGGTCGGGAGGAAAGCCAGGCTGCTGAGAGCTGGCAGAAGCAGCTTGGCAACCAAAGAGCCCATCGGAAGGAGGAGGAGAGCTTGCCCAGGAACAGACAGTGCAGGGGAAGAAAAGGTCCCACCGAATCCCGGAGACGGCAGAGTCGGAAGCTGCGTGCTCCTCAAGGGCCATGAATCTGTGCGATGAAGACAGCTGGAGCAAAGGGGCTGTCCAGTTTAAAGGCCCAAAGGCTGGCTTAACTAACTCCCGTGTGACGTCAGCAGATGACAGGTGGCAGAAGGCCAGGGGCACGTTGGGCACAGCTGACGGCTGGGGCTGGGGACAGCCTTTGCTTGTGGTGTTTTGAGCCGCCCTGGAACAAATGGCCCAGTGCGAAAGGCAGCAAGTGTGTGTGTCCCTCCAACGCTTGGCCTGTTTGTGATAGGGGTGCCAAGTCCTATCTTCCCCCCCAGCAGGGGACTTTGGGAGGTGTTCCAGGAGGGGGCGGAGCATCCCCGATGTGATGTTGTCACCTTGGGGACGTCCCCCCCTCGCCGACCCGCCCGCCCACCCGACACGGGCGCCGGCTCCCCGCCGTTAAAGGGCACTGCCGGGAGGCAGCATTTCCATGTGCCTGATTGGCTGGCCCACAGCCACCCCTCTCCCACCTCTCTCTCAAGAGAGAAGGGAGAGGGGTGGCAGCAGGTGTTGGGACTTGGGGGCGGGTAAAAGCCCCCCCAAAGCGGGGGACCCCCTGGAAACCGGGGGGGGGGGGGTTGGGCAACCCTGGTTTGTGAGGAGAGGCGCTGAGGTCAGCTCGTGTTTGGCCTTCGCCGTTGGGGCCGTTCCATGCAGCTCATCTGTTCCTCACCAACAATAGTGACCAGGGTGAGTCCCAGAGAGAGACCAAGTACTGGACGAAGAGGGGGCACATCCAGGTTCAAGGCCTCACTCGGCTAGCTGCAAAGCCCATTGGCGGGCCTTGTGTTGGTCACTTTCTTGTGGCTGAACCTCCCTCTCTCACAGGGGAATGATGAGGAGAAGGTAGAGGAGGAAAGGCTCGGGTGTGCTGGCCAGAACTCTTTGGGGGAAGGGCAGGACGAAAATGTGAAACCCGCACAGGAAGCTCTTCCTCCAGGCCAAAGCAGATGGGTGCTGGGAATTCAGTATTTGGAGCTCCCGAGAAGGGCAGCCTGACACCTCCCCCACCCCGTGGTCCTGATCTGAGCAGAGGCCTCGCCGACCTGGAGCAGGGGTCGGGACAGGAAGCATAACATCTCCTACACAAATAAATAACAGAATGCATTAAAGTTTAAAAATCGCCAGGCGTCCTAGAGATATCCTATCTCTATCTCTATTCTATCTATCCCAGAGATAGCAGGGGTCATTTCATAGAAAAAGAGCTAGGGGAACTCATTAGCATAACTCATTAGCATATGCCACACCCCCTGACATCAGGGGCTCCGCGGTGGACCTGCAAGGCCGGCGGGAGTGCAAGGAAGCCCCGCCAAGGCCCTCCCTGGCCCCAGACAGGCAGGGGTGGGGAGAGGCGGGGAGGAAGCAACTTACCCTCCCTCTTCTCCTGCCTCCTCCTGGCTGAATGAGGGCCGGAAGCGGGGCGGCCAGAAGCAGGGGGCGGGGCTTCGTCATGTGCCACGCCCCCCTGCACCTCACCCGGGGGAACTGCGTTCCCCCACGTTCCCCCCCGAAATGACCTCTGTCCCAGAGGATATAGTCTATCTCGGTCCTATCTCTCTCAGCATGTGTCTGGATTGGCCTGCAGAAGTGCCACTAAATCCCTTCGGCCTCCAACCTGTGGGTGCCGGGCAGGGACTGTTTTAGGGTGGAGCCAAAGCTGTGGAATTCTCTCCCTAGAGCAGTGGTCACCAAAATGGTGCCTGCATGCACTGTAGTGCCTGCAAACACCTTTTCTGGGCCCCGCCAAGTGTTTTTAGAAGTGGGCGGTGCGAGACGGGCCTTTTGCCCTGCAAGGCTTGTGGCTGGCCATTGGAGGCTTGGTTGGTGGTGCAGATTTTAGAAAACGTGGCTTTGGCAGCAGCTGCTACCAGAGCACAAGGATCTTTACTATATGACTGAAGGCAGGGGTCGTTTCATAGAAAAAGAGCTAGGGGAACTCATTAGCATAACTCATTAGCATATGCCGCACCCCCTGACATCACCAGAAGTGTGTCATAAGGCCACACCCCCTGACATCAATGGAAGTGTGTCATAAGACCACACACCCCGCCCCCAACGGTCCCGGCCGCCACCGCCGGCCTTGCAGCTCCACTGCCGAGCCCCATGAGGGGCCCGGCGGTGGACCTGCAAGGCCGGCGGGAGTGCAAGGAAGCCCCGCGAAGGCCCTCCCTGGCCCCAGGCAGGCAGGGGTGGGGAGAGGCATGGAGGAAGCAACTTACCCTCCCTCTTCTCCTGCCTCCTCCTGGCTGAATGAGGGCCGGAAGCGGGGCGGCCGGAAGCAGGGGGCGGGGCTTCGTCATGTGCCCCACCCCCCGTACCTCACCCGGGGGAACTGCGATCCCCCGTGATTCCCCCCGAAATGACCTCTGACTGAAGGGAAGCTGAGTAGGTGGCCATTTTGTGGCTGGCTCTATCTCCTGCAGCTGGCGTTCTGTGGCTGTGCCCACCATGCCTGTGACAGAAGGTGCCTCCACACTGACCAAGGCTGGAGACCCCTGCTGTAGAGTGTTGTCAAAGGGAGGGGTTTCCGCATGTTCAGAGAACTCCACAGGTATGCCAACAGGGAGCAAAAGAACCCTCCAAACCCTTCAACAAGCACCCCGATGAGGAGAGTGCCTGCTCCAGAAGTGGTTTCAGGTTGGGACAATGGTGCCGCATACGGTTGCCAACACTGGGGCCTGGAGATCTCCCAGGGTTGCAGCTGTTCTGCAGAGTACAGAGTTCAGTTCCCCTGGAGAAAATGGCTGCTCTGGAGGGGGGGGGCTCTGTGGCATTCCACTCCCCAGAGGTCCTTGCCTTCCCCTCCCCAGGCTCTACCCCCACTTCTCCAGGAATTTCTCAGCCTCTGCTCTGACCTCCGAAGGCCTCTGCTCTGACCGCTGCATGGCCCTCAGCCTCCCAGCCTTTCCCGTCTGAATCATGATGTGCAGTGCAATCCTCATGGCTGTTGAGGGTTCTTTTTCTACCCCCCCCCAGCCCTGGGGTTGTTGCTTGATATTCCTCACCAAAGGCAGGGGAGTGAGTCATCTGTCCCTTTCTGCAGACTGAGGGGCTGGGCAGGCATTCTGTGTTTGGATTATCGAGGCAGTGGGAAATGTCTGGAGATTGGGGAGCTGGAACCTGGGGAGAGTGGGACCGATACCGCAAAAGCAGTTGTTGCACCCTCCATCTCCTGTTCCCCTCGGTTGATCCTTATTTTTTAGGATCAAAGTGGGGGAGAGCGGGGGGGGGGATGCGGGCCAAAATGCGGCCACGCAGCAAATAGTGGGAAATCCAGCAGTACAATCAGGGGAAATGGGAGATTGAGGGAGCAACAACTGCTTTTGCGGAATTGGTTTGGGTTTTTGAGAGGCAAGAGACTTCAGCAGGTGATAATGCCGCAGAGTCCACCCTGCAAAGCAGCCCTTTCCTCCAGGGGAACTCAACTCTCTGGAGATCAGCTGTGATTCCGGGAGGTCTCCAGGCCCCACCTGGAGCCTGGCAACTGTTCTGAAGAGGAAGGTCACTAACATAAAGTGAGAAAGAATGGCTTCACCCTTTTGGACCAAACTGGATGTTGGGTTGGGGTTCCAGAAGCCAGCTTATAGGCAGACATTACACTGGAGAGGGAATGTTCCCAAGCACCGTGGGGCCCGATCCAGTCTGAGAGCGCAGGCGGGGGGAGGAGGGGCTTCTGCCTCCCTCTCCCCAATGCACCATGTTCCTCAGGTGAAATGGCTGCAGGGGGACCCTGTCCACTCAGCGGTGGGGCACTGAAGTCCCCACAGAGGTCCCATCTAGGTGGGCCGTAGACTGATGCCGATCCGGGAAGGAGACCGCCAGTATGGAGAGGCTCCTTGACAGGTACTTGGTGCATGTGTGTGTGTGTGTGTGTGTGTGTATGAAAAGTCCTGGACTGCAGCCTGACTTCTGCAGAGTCCTCTGGCACGCAGGTAGGGTTGCCAACTCTGGGCTGGGGAATTCCTGGAGATTTGGGAGGTGGATCCTAGAGAGATCCCTAGAGCACACCCATCGAAACAGCCATTCTCTCACCCTGACCTGGGTAGCCCAGGCAAGCCCAATCTGGTCAGATCTTGGAAGCTAAGCAGGGCGACCCTGGTAAGTGCTTGGATGGGAGACCTCCTTGGAATACCAGCCATCGGGAGGCGGGGGCAGGCTTTACTCAGCCACCTCTACGAATAGGCCCCGAGTAGGGGTCAGTCACCAGAGGTTGCCATGACTTCCAGATGCGCACACGCATGCACACACACACAAATACAACCCCCCCCCCAAAAAAACAGCCACACTCTCCAGGGTAACTTTTTTTAATAGCATGGAGAGTAATTGTAAATCTGGGGGACTGCAGCCCCCACCTGGAGGGTTGGCAACCTTTGTGCAATCCATGAAAATGCCCAGACTCCCCCCCCAGCACTGTGACGATAGTGAACCGGCCGGCCAGCCTCTCGCTTGACTTTATTGTGACTTAAGCAAACAAGCCAGCCTTTGTAGCCAGCCTCCTGCTTTCCCCCTTCCTTGGGATTAATATCTTTTCCTTGGAAGCCCGTGCAGATTCTTAGAGTCTTTTTGAAGACAGCTGTTCTGATGAAGCAAGGCGGAGGAATGCGAGACAGGAGGGACCAGCTGGCCCTGTGGTTTGGGCTCTGGTGGGGTCACAGTGATAGCAGCTACTGGCAGGGCCTGCCTGGATTGATGGCACAGAGTCCGTCTCCCCTCCTAGAATAGCCTTTGTTGCTTCTCTTCCCATATTAGGAGAGCAAAGGCCATAGAAAGATCCGTGGCTGTAGACTGCCAGGAACGTGCCATCTTCTACTCCTCACTGGAGTATCTAGCAATTATTGGCCTTTATATAGGGCTTCAGAATGTTCAGAACTCTTAATGTGCAGCAATTTTTCCAACAACCCTGCAAGGTTGGGCCACTGACGTTTCCCCCATACTTCAGACAAGGGAATGAGGTTGAGTAAGAGCACCTTCCCAGAGGCTGCATCTGGAATGCATGGCAGAGGAGGGATTTGA